TTGTCACTGATGCATAATCAGCTGTTCAAATATAGGATGGGGACAACTGATTACAAAGCAGTTCTGCAAGAAAGCATCTGGGGTTACAGTGAATCAGAAGCTGTACATGAGTCAACAGTGTCATGCTGTTGCAAAAAGGGCATATGTCAAACTGGGACATATAAACAGGAGTGTCATATGTTAGACATGTGAAGCAATCCCACTTGGTGCTGGGAAGATTTCAAATGCAATACAGCATCCAGTTTTTGGCACTGCACTTCGAAACATATGTTGTCCAGCCACAGAACAATGGAAATAGTGCCAGGTCCAGAAAACATGACCTACAAGAATGACAGAAGAAATTGGGGTTGTTTGGTGAGTAGATGTAATAAGTCTTCAAATACATTAAAAATTGCTGCTAAGAGGAAGGAAATAAACTGTTCTCCATTTCGTCTGAGAACACCATAACAAGAAACAGACAGGTTTCCAAAAAGTGTTCAATAGTAGAAAAATTTTCTAATGGTAAGGCCGCTACAATAGATTGCCCAGAAGAATTGTTGAATCTGCATCGTATTAGTCAAATGTGCCTCAAGAGTGAAACAAGTATAGTTAATCGTATCACTGGGCAGAGAGGACTGCACCAGATCACTTATCAAGGTACTCTGTTTTCTGTAAGGAATCCTCAGCCTGTCTGTCAAGTTGATTCTTTCAAAATCATTGTAATCTCAATTTTTTTTTAAATAATTTTTTTTCCCAGTAACTCTGACTAAGAAGGAAGTAAACATCGAAGCTGACAATGTCAGTAGCTGGCACTATTACTTCATATGGAAAATTTGCAGTTATCAAACCCAAATAATTTCTAGCTTTTTTTGTTTTGTTTGTAGAACTTGTCAGAATTTCCACTTTTTCTTTCTCTAAAGTGGTAGGCAAAGCATGAAGGGGTTCATCAACTCTGAGATGAATTTCATTCAAGATGAGTTATGTATGTACATATATATAACTTCTAGGGAAAAAAAAAAAGAAAAGTAAAGAACCGCCCCACACACATTTAATTATCAGCATACCAGCCACAGAAAGACAGACAGACAACAAAAACAAGTGAGATAAGACTCTTCAAGTAACGCAGATGAGTTTGTTGTGACTACTCCTGATGGGAACTGTTATCAAAGTCAAGTACATGAAGCATTATTTGGCCCTTTATTGTGCGCAAAAATGTCTGTAATCTTTGCTGTAATGCACAACAAATCACACACATTATTTTGAAAAATCAGACCAAAACCACCCCAAAGCTATAAGCAATAGAGGATTTTCACTATCCCAGACCACACTGTTGTTCCATGTAATCTGCACCTAACCAAGAAATTGGAAAACCTATACGAACATACCTAGTTGATTGTGTATTGCTATATTTGGGGGGAGAAAATTCCTTCCGGATCCCAGTGGGGAATTCAGCTCATGCCCTGAAGCATGAGATTTGATTACTCTTTTTTGAACATGCATAACTGCCATTGCTATTACTGGTCATAACATTTTGTCAGGAAAGAGAAATATTATTCTGCAATGTAATAAAAATAGATAAAATTCAATATAGCTTCAGAATCATTTGCTACATTTCCAAAGTAAACATTAAGCACCCATCAAGATTATTCCATTGGATAAGCCAAGGAAGCCTCCAGTGCTATCTGTTCATTTTATTATCTCTAATTTTCAAGTGTGCAAAAATGCTTTCAGTAAATATTATGGGTTCTTCCTGTGCTAAAAGAGATGCTAAATGACCTTCACCAACTTAGTTATAAATAACAGAAGCAGGGAGCACACAAATGCTGTATAGTTTCAGCTCTATTCAAACCTATCAGCAAATTCTGACCAGTGGATAAAAATGGACACCAGATTCTGCTTGCTTTTTTTCCACTTCTTCATAATCCCACCCCAGTTCCCTCTTGAAAGGCATTCTGTTCTGTCAGCCATAATGGCATCTGCTGGTGGAGACAGGAAGCCATAAATCTGTAGGGTTCCTCTCGACCAAGCCTTGTTAATGCTCCCATTTATCACTGAGGATAGGGTGCCATCTCACTAGTGCTCTACTCAGAAGTCCATCTTCTCAGTTTCCCCTTCCCAAAGGAGTAACCATTTAAAACAGCGACTTTCTCATCTTGCATGTTGAGACTGAAAACGCCACTGATACAAATACCATGCCCAGTGTGTAGCATTTGGATTTAATCCATGACTCTGGAGAACAATAGCTGCTACTTGCTGATCCCAGACTACACTGAATCGCTGCTTTGCTTACATCTAGAGCTTGTATCTTTTCAACTTGCACAAAACTAGCAGATCCCAGATGGAGAGGTTAAAATCTGAGGGCACTCTGTCATTTGCCTCCCCGTGTCGTCCCCCCCCGATGCCTGCTAGTGTCCCAACACATTACACCACATCCCACAGTTTGGGAGAATTGTTAATAAAACATCACTGTGTTAACACAGCATTTAATACACGATTCTTCATAACAAACAAACTATCCTAATCAGAGGTGCAGGATCTTTCTGTGCAGCCAGGGAGGCGAGGAAATAAAAAACCAACTAGAAGTACCTCCATTTTTCTGATTTGGGAACCAAGACGCAGAAGCTGAAGGGTTCAAAATCACAAATCAAGGCAGGATGAAATGTGAAAAGAAAATCCTAGTTTGCCACCCTGCCCCTGAACTACCTGATCCAGGTCCAGTGCTGCACTTACAAATTAGACAGCGTGTCACTTCTTCTCATCACACTGCCAGGATAATTGCCCCGCTGCTGCGGATGCTGTGGCCCCTCTTGGCCCTGTGTTTACACCTGCCTGAACTGGAGACAAAGCAGAAATCCCCTGGTGTGCACCAACAGGATTTTACGTGTGCTGCACACAGGTATAAGAGGTCTGTGCAATTCCAACTGATTCAAGCAGAGCTGTTCACTTCTGAGTGAGTTATGCTAGGCAGAAGTGGAAAAAATGAGTATTTTATAGTAGTGTTATCCTATTTTATCTTTCAAACTAAGCATTTGCTTGCACCAATAAATACTTTCAAATTGCTTATAGAAATTGTTAGAGTTCGTACAGGGAAGGCTATCAAATAATTTAAGTGAAATCAGTTAGGTGGACACTTTCATAAACACAATCTCATATTAGGCTGCTAAATACAAAGGTCACTTAGGGGTCTTCCCACAGAAACCCTTTCCCTGCCTGAGCTGCGGGACTGCGGTTTGCAGATCGCCAGTGACACCGGCTATAACACAGCGGCTCTTGCTGGTGCTTTGTAACAGAGCCCGATCTAACAGATTGATTTCAGAGGTATGCAAATTATTCCAATTAAACCCATAGTTTCATTAGAAGGATACAAATGCCCAAACAGAAAAAAAAGTATCTAGGAACTCAGTTCCATGGCAAACTCGGGGCTTAGGCTATGGAGCATTGCAAAACCCACTTTTAAGAGGTCTTACACAAATTATAGTGGAACATACAGAAATTAATCCATCCTTTCAGCCCCAAATCACTTTTAAACCCTCGAAGGTGTTACAGCAGCTGTGGGAAAAAAAACCTGAAATGAATAAACAGGGCAGGGGAAGTTATATCCATGTGTCTTAGGGGACAAAACCGTTGAAAGCTCCAGCGTCACCTGCCCCTCCGTGGCCCGGCAGTGTGTTGGGCTCTCTGAGAAACTCCGCACGGTCGGATGGGACATAGATTTGGCTTGCCGTGAGGGTGCAGAAGCGCCTGATGGACATACCTGGTTCCCCCTAAATCCAGGTGCTGGGGGAATAAGGGGAGCAGAGGGTGCTTGAGCACGACATAGTGACCCTGCTCTCACCGGCGGTGCAGGGCTTTCTTACTACAGAAGGGCCTCGAACGAAGCCTTGGGTTTCCCCAAACTTCGCCAAACTTTGCGCCGCCGACGTCCAGCGGCGCCGGTTCCCCCTGCTGCTCCCGAGCCAGGGATAACCGTGAGGGGCGAGCAGTAAGGTCCCAAAACCCGAAGGGTCCCGGTTCCCCCGCAGCCGTTTACACCTGAGGAAGCACCGCTCTCCCCGCTCACCCGCCGGTGCAGGCGGGGGGCGGTGCCGGACACTCCCCC